CCATCCAGGACAAGATTCAAGTCACCTACCCAGGAGTTTGAACCACCCACCAGCAGGACTTCCGTCTTGTCTGGATTGAGCTTCAGTTTATTGGCCCTCATCCAGCCCATTACCTCGGCCAGGCCCCAGTTCAGCACAGCCACTGCCTCACCTGGATTGGTGGAAAACGAGAGGTAGAGCTGGGTATCATCAGCGTACTGATGACTCCGCAGCCCACACCTCCTGATGACCTCTCCCAGCGGTTTCATGTAGATGTTGAATAGCAAGGGGGACAAAATGGACCCCAGCGGAACTCCATGGCATAGCTGCCATGGCGCAGAGCCATAGTCCCCCAGCACCACCTTCTGGAACCGGCCATTGAGATAGGAGCAGAACCACTGCCAAGCAGAGCCTCCAACTCCCAACCCCCTTAGCCTGTCTAGAAGGATACCATGGTCGATGGTATCGAACGCCCCTGAGAGGTCCAGGAGAACCAACAGGGACACACTCCCCCTGTCTTTCTCCCTGCACAGGTCGTCGTACAGGGCGACCAAGGCAGGTTCAGTACCGTACCTGGGTCTGAAGCCAGACTGAAATGGGTCCAGATAGTCAGTCTCATCCAAGAGTACTTGGAGTTGTCCCGCCACCACCCACTCCAACACCTTGCCCAGGAACGGGATGTTGGCCACCGGTCTATAATTGGCGGCACCTCCAGATCCAGGGATGCCTCCTTTAGGACCAGCCTGACCACCGCCTCCTTTAGAGGGGCAGGCACCCGGCCGTCCTTCAAAGAGGCGTTGATGACCTCCCGGATCCAGGAACCAATCCTGTGTTTGGCTTTGGATAGTAGCCATGATGGGCAGGTGTCCAGTACACAGGTGGTGGTATGTACCTGTCCAAGCACCTTGTCCACATCATCAGGCCGCAGCAACTGAAACTCATCCAACGTGTGACCAGATGGTAACATTGGCACCTCCCCTAAGGAATCTGAGTGGAGTCCAGCTCATGATGCATCTGAGCGACTTTCTCCTTGAAGTGCTGGGCAAAGTCGTCACAGCGGGTTATCGAGGGTGGTACAGGATCTTTCTTGGGGCCTGGCTGTACCAGCCCCTGAACCACCTGAAAAAGTGATGTGATGGGCTGGATAAGAGCCAATATATTGAAGCTCAATCCAGGTAAGATGGAAATGTTCCTGGTGGATGGTCTACCTGTTCAGGTGATTGATATCCACCCTCTCTTGGACAGGGGTGCACTCCTCCCAGGGGACAGGGTGCACAGTTGGGGAGTACTCCTTGATCCTGAGCTTCCCTGGAATCTTAGGTGGGGTCTGTGGCAAGGAGTGCCTCCAGGTGAGGCTGGACAGACGGGCCCCAGCAACAGCAACTCACACATTGGTAACCTCCTGGTTGGACTACTGCCATGCACCCTATACGGAGCTGCCCTTGAAGATGGTCCAGACACTGCAATTGGTCCAAGACAGAGCTGTGGATTGCAGACTAGGAAGAGTAGCTGAGAATGCGTCACACGGGTCCTGTATCAGCTATACTGGCTACCAGTTGAAGTCCGGGACCAATTTAAGGTGTTACTTTTGACATGTAAATTCCTCAATGCTTTAGGGCATGGGTCCTCAAACTACGGCCTGCGGGCCAAATCCGGCCCACCATGCCCAATTATCCAGCCTGCCTCAGAGGTTTTGGGCTCCCCGCACCCACTGCCGCCACCGCCTGCCTTGCTGTGCGGGCAGCGAGGTGGCGGCTTCGCTCGGAGGTCATTTTGACTTGCTCAGAGGTATCCAAGTGAGCCAGGCGCTGCCTCGACGCATGCTCCTGCTGCCGGTGGGCTGGGCCCGCCACTGGCCCTCTGTTGAAAAAGTTTGACGACTCCTGCCTTAGGGCCTAGTTATCCAAGGGAGTATCTTCTTCCATATGAGCCTGCTGGACCTGAAGATACCTGTGGAGGTCTTCCCCCGAGACCCCTCCTTGACAGAGATGAGCAGGGCTCGTGCAAGAAGGCCTTTTCTGCCATAGCACCTTGATTATGGAATTCATTTCCCAGAGAGGTGCACCTTGCACGGACACTGTATTCATTCCAACACCAGGTCAAAAACTTTTTAACCCAGTTTCTTAAATCGTTAAATGGTATTTTAATTAATTTAGCATCCAGGATGGGCACTAAGGAGTTTTAAATTATATTGTTGATTTCTTTAAAAAAATTGTGTAAGCCCTCATGAGATTTTTAATGAATTATGACATAGAAACATTTTTAATAAATATGCAGGGCCACGTCTCACAGCTTCTTCCTTTTCGTTCTGCTGAAACTGACAATAAATTAATTAAATGTATTTGGCTCAGCAACACCACAATGGAAATGCAGTTGCTTGGGAGCCGACCTGTCATGGATGCTGCACTAAAGATCTGTTGGCTGAAATGTCACACTTTTGTTAAGGGTGCAAACAATCCTGCCCAGCGTTACTAATTTGAACTGAATCCTGGGCGGCCCTCCAAGAAACGATGTACGCAGCCCCTCCTTAATTTTTCTCCTTCTCGATACTAATCCCTCTCTCCGCTAACTAGCAGCTTAGTCCAGGTGGCTGAACAGAACGGCAATGAGGGCCTTTCCACCAATCCTGCTAAAAGATCCCTTTTCCTCTTCCCTCCGCATCTGCTTCTCCTTGCCCACAGTGACAGCCTATGAGCAGGCGCTATCTTGTTTCACCGAGTGCACGCAAGCCGCCCCAGGTCCCTTCTGCGTTGGAAATCCCTTGCATGCGCAGCCCGAATCGGCTAGACATATTGTTCCCTCCTCCGCCCGCTGCGGCGCTGATCTTCCTTCGGGAAAACCCCGGAAAGGCGCGCCTTCGCTCTCCCTGCCGCACTAGGGAGCCCACGGGACCCCCGGAAGCGGCCCGCCCGGACCCTCCGGCCAGGTGCAGAGGCGCGCGCTCCGCGGCGCGTCCGCCGGACGGCGTGTGCGCTGGCCCGGGGGCAGGGGATCGGCAGCGAGGGGGCGGACTGAGGCCGGCTTAACCCGCTTCCCGCGACGCGGCCGCCGCCTACTTTTGCGCCGCCTCTCCCGGTTCGGGAAGGTCGACGTGCCCCGCTGCAGAGGCGCCCCCCGGGGGGAGAGCTGCGCTGGAGGGGCGGGCCGCCTTGGCCCCGCCCCGTCGCTTGGGTGCAGTCCCCGAGGGCTTGTTTGGAAAGGAATTTGCCCTTTGGCCGGGAGAGCGGCCTCAGCCGGGCCCTGGGGCGAGCATCCACGCAGAGGAGCAGCCCAGGTCAGGGAGGGTACCTGCGGCGCATTAGCTTGCTGTTGGGGCCCATGGAGACAGGGAAGGCCCCATCTCTTGGCTCTTCACCAGGCCTGCCAGAACGGGCAGGGCCACTCAGAGCACATGCGGCAGTGGATGGGGTATGGCGAGGCACCTGGGGTGCCAGCAGTCAGAATGGCAGCACAGCCCTGAGTGCCCCCCCTCGCTCCAAAAGGACGTGTGCACCCCTTGCCATGCCTGCCTTGGAGGAACTTGGACGCTGCCTGCAGCCCCTCTCTCTGCCAGGCGAGGCACCGGGAAATGCCCGGCCTGCTTCTGGCCCTGTCCTGGCAGCTCCACAAGGTTAAGGTTAGAATCGTAGAATCCTAGAAGAGTGGAGTTGGGAGGGGCCATGAAGGCCACCGAGTCCAACCCCCTGCTGTTGCAGGGCACCACGTCACACCCTCCCACTCTGGTTGCAGAAGGCCTTCCCGTGACTGTGTTTTTGTAAAAACCTTTGTATTTTGTAAGCCATCCTGAGCGCTTGGCAATAGGACAGGATAGAAATGTCTGTCATGAATAAATAATAAAATAATAAAAACCTCAGAGGAAAGAAACACCTTTTTCCAGAGCCCCCTTGCCAAAAGTGGCCCAATCAAGGCTGGTGAGTATACTGGAATAACAATTCCCATCATCCAGAATTAGCAGCTGACCAGAGAGGGGCTCTGGGAAGCACTGCCAGCTCACTGGTCTGTCTGGGGGTGATGGGAATTGTAGTATTTTGAGGATGCTGACTTGGTACAAGTTGAGCTATGGTTTCTCTGTGGCTTGACAACTTCAGTGCTGCACAAAAGCACTTCTGTGCACAAACCAGGATGGCCAGTATGAGAATGCTGAACGGGCGTTCAGAAGATCTCAGTTCTAGTCTCACTCAGCCATGAAGTGAGCCAGTCACAGACTCTTTCTCTATGCTGCCTTGCAGGGCTGTGGTGAGAGTAAAGTAGACCTGGGGCACATAACCACTGAGGCTCCTTGAAAGAGGAAAACGGCAAGGAAGAGGAAATCGAGTACAGTGGCTCAGGTGATGTGCTCTCTTCACATTAATGGGACCACTCCCGACAAGTGTCCTTTGGATTGCAGCCTGATGCTGTGTGAAGGAGAGGCAGCTGGCCAGGGCTGCCAGGGTCCTGCCTGGCTTCTGGTGCAGCAGGGCAGCTTCTGTGGGGAAGCAGAAACGGCGGGTGAGGAGGGCAGAACAGGGAGCGGCTCCATCAGGGTACTCAGACCAGTTATACTTGAGGAGCGTCCGCAAGGGGACAGACCCAGGACTTTGGGGAAGGACTGGAAGATGGGGAGAGAGGAGGGTCTCTGGAGCAGGGCAGCAAGGAGCTGCAGCAGGGGAGCAGAAGAACAGTAGGGTTGGAAGAGGCCCAGGTGTCTTTTTGTGCTGCCCTTAGTCACTGGCCCATGCAGCTTCCCAGCAAATCATCTTTTTATTTGACTTAATTCCAGGCTGTTTTCAGAATACGCTTGCAAGCACGCAGGCCATGCTGCCCTTGCAGTAGAGAGCCCTGGCACACACAGCAATCCGTACAGCGAGAGCAACGCCCCCTTTCCAGCCACCCTGCAGATGTTCCTGCGTAGGCAAAATGCCAGGAATGGTGCAAAAACCAAGAAGAGGAGCTTGCCCCAACCCTGTGATCTGGGAGACTTCAGAGCCCGTGGCCAGGTGTCGTGGTCTGCGTGTGGACACTGGCTATGGGAGCTCAGCCAGTCAGAAAGCGACGGAGCCCTCACCGGCCTCCCAGTCATAGGCTTGGATCTGGGCCTTCAGGTGGGCCAGCTTCCTCTTGAGATAATCGCGGCGCTGCTGCTTCTCCAGGTAAGCAGGGTCCTGAGAGGGAGACAGGGCAGAGGAGGGAGCACATCAGAAATGACGGTTCCCGGACTTGCCTGGATGTTGGTCGCCACAAGCAGGACAAGACTGTGAGAAGGCCCCGTGTGCTGCGCTGCAGGAGCAGCGCCCCCCAGGAGGAGTGCCTTGCTTCCGAGGACACACATCGGCCACCCAGGCCCTCCACCTGCACACGGTGCCCTGCCAGAGCACAGGGGGCATGAGCTGGTGCGGACAGGCACCCTTTTCCTCCTCCCACACACCCACCCACCCTTTCCTTGGCTGTGCTGTCCTCTCCACCTGCCTCGCTCTCCCACTTGCTTCCTCTCCTTGCCTTCCCACTTCCTCTCTACCACCTCTTCCATTCTCTTTTTTCATTCTCCCTGTCTTTCCTCCCCTTCATCCACCTCTCCTTCTGGCAATCCTTTCCTTTTGCTTCCTTCCCCTCTCTCAATCTCCCTCTCTGTGCCTCACACACATCTTCTTTTCTGTCTCCCCTTCCTCTTCCTCCCCTTGTCCCAGGACCTGCAGGAGGAGAGACCAATACATCACATCCAGGGCTTGTCAGGGCATCTGAAACTGGCCAGGCTGCCCAGGGCTCACCCTGCGCTGGACTCCTGAGTGGTGCCTCTTGCCCAGAGCCCTGCCTTGCCAGTGGTTGGGGAGCTGTGCCCTGCTTTGCTTTGCTACCAAACATGCACCATTCTCTGGCGTTTGAGCTCTGCCTCTTGAGCTTGCTTGCTGTAGCCCCACAGCTACACAGACCACCGTTTGGCTGCCATGTGTGTGGGGCTGAATGCACACCCAATCTGCTTTCTCAGTGTGTGGCCCAGCCTGGGGCTTTGAAATCCCAACACGCGAGTGAAAGACTTTGCCACTCGGCAGCCTTCAGAGCCTTGTCCTGAAATGACAGGCCTGACGTACCTTCCTTTTGGTCCTGTATTCCTTCCTCACAGCTGAGAGTCGACTTTGCTCCTGCACAGGGGAAGAGAGAGGGAAACAGCATGCAGAGTTCTGTACAAAAGAAGCCCAGTGCCAGTGCTTTTCAGTGTCACATCCTCCCCGTTTTTGCCTTTGGCCCTTCCCGTACTAGAGAGTTGCCTCGGGGTGGGAGAGGTGTGGGTGCTGCAGGGGAGATGAGCAAGCCAAGGGTCAGCCTGAGCCTCCCCCGGAGCTCTGTGGGTGCCGCTTTTCAGCTGCATGGGGGCAGGTCCCAGACCATGCTGGACCTGCTTAGCAGTGCGTGGTGTTTGCAAGGGACTGTTGGTGCCTCCGTTCAAGAGTATTTAAAAATGTGTTGCACCAACACTGGAGTTACACCTGACAGCAGGACAGAGGTCTCATTCTCAGGAGCTGCCCACCCTTCTGCTCATGGCCCTGGAGGGCTTCTTCGGGAACTTCGGCCTCTCGGATCTGTTCCAAGCAGCAGGGCCAGTCGGAAAGCAAAGAACGGAGCATTTACTTGAGCTGCTTCTTGTTATTAATCATATTGTTATTATGCACCAGAACTGGGTCTCCAACATCAACTTGGTAGCCATGGGGATGTCCCTTGATGATAGGCAGGCTCCCAGGGACTTCTTTTATTTTATTTCTTAAGATCTTTTTCAATTTAAATAAATTATTTGGAAGGCTACTCATGTTCTGGAGCTCTGTCCCCCCTCTGATGCCTTTCCCCTTAGGTTCTTGGGTGAAGTTCTTTCCTTTTAAGCTCCCCAGCTTGCTTTCTGTGAAATGGGGCTTGGGTGATCAGCCACACACACCATAGCAGACGTTTTGTGAATGGCCAAGCCCTTCTCCCCATGGTAGCCATTTTGTGAGAGTGCCCATGGAACACTCTCACCATTACAAATGCATCCACTGACCCAAGGAGTTAGAAACATAGAAACAGAGCAAGTCCAAAGGGTCCTCCCAGGTCATCTAGTCTGACCCCTGGCTCCACTCACAACATGCCTCTCATGTGCATGTCTAGCCAATCCTTGAGCACCCTCACCGATGGGGCCTCAACCACCTCCCGGGGAAGCCCATTCCACACCCTGGGGGCCTAACTGTCAGGAAGTGCTTCCTGGCATTCACCCTAAATCTTGGTTCCCTGAGCTTTGCTCCCTAACCCTCCGAGTCTCCTCCTCCCAAGGCTGAAGAGGCCCAGTTCCCTCAGTCTCGCCTCCTACGGCATCCCCTGCAAACTGGCCACCCACCTTGTGGCCCTGCGCTGCACTGACTCCAACCTGGCTATATCCTTTCTGTAATGAGGGGCCCAGAACTGAGCACAATAATCCAGTTGCAGGCGCATGAGAGTCGTGTAGAGTGGTAGTAATACCTCTCTCGATCTAGAAGCCACACTTCTGGCCATGCAACCAAGGGTGGCGTTCGCCCTCTTGACCACCGCATCACACTGCTGACTCAAGTTCAGCCTGCAGTCAACCAGCACCCCGAGGTCCCTTTCACAAGTGCTGCTCTCCAGCCACTTGTCCCCTAACCTGCACTTATGACACCCATTCCTGTGCCCCAAGTGCAAGGCCTTGCACTTATCTGTATTGAATGGCTGTGCTTGACAGACAGCAGGATGGACCATCTCACACCAATCACAAATATACCAGAACTGCTATTAATTCTAAATGGTGGGAAGTTCCTTCCTTTTCCCTTTTGCAATTTGCAACACAAAGCCAAATGAAGAAGAATAAGTCCATTGATACAACTTGTGAGTGACCTTCCTATTCTGATAGTGGCGAGGCAGCTGGCGCATCATGGCATCCAGGTCCTGAAATTTCTGCTCTGCAGCACTGATCTCACGGTACAGCTCCTTGTACTCGGCATATAGGTCATTGAAGACAGCTTTGTACTTCTCCCGCTCAGTCATGCTTCCAATGGACGGGTAGTTTCTACGCAGACCAAAAACCAGAACAAAACAGACCATCAGAAGAGATGATGCGCAGACATGCGAATTAGTTTCATGGCCAAGCAGGTGACTGACGTGCCCCTCGTCAGAATTTCAAAGGAACCCTGAGCTGGAGAGTCCCCGCACTAGGCAGACTCTGTGCTGCAGCTTGTTGTTAATGGGGCCGCCTCAGTCTGCAGCCCCACCAGTGCAGGAGACCCCAGGAGTTCCCCAGCAGCCTTGGCACCTACTAAGCAGCCCACACAGTTAGACTTCTCCTAAAATTAAGCCCACATGTGGGTCTCGCCTGCTCCCTGCCCTCCACACGATGTCTGCCACATGTCACGGCCCTTCTCCTGCGGGGCACCTGCGCCCAGCTCTTTCACCTCCCAGGGCTCCTCTGACGCGCCTCCCGGCCCTGCTTGCTCCTTTTTGGACCTGCTCCAATTTGTCGCAGCCTTCCTGGAATGGAGTGTCTGGAAATGGGCACAGGACTCCGAAGTGCAGCCCAGCCTACTCAGAATTGGGCAGGCCGGTCACTCCCCATGAGCAGATCCCCGCTTCTCTTGATGCACCCCAAGTTTGCATTGCCGTCTTGGCAGCCGCCTCGCACAGTTGGCTCGTGGGGGGCTTGCGTCAGCCTCCCCTTGTTCCGCATCATTGCCTGAGGAGGTCCCACTTGTTGGGGAGTCCCTGCTGCCCCCATGTCCAGCATGTCCCACCTTGCCACAGCTCCAGGTTCTTCTCTGACCCTCCTCACCCGTCACCACCAACAGCAGCAACAAACGCATGTGTGCCGATAGTGGAAAAAAAGCACCTAGATGTGTGCTCTGGCTCAGGATTCCTCCTTTGGTGTTTTGCTACAGTACAGGAGTGCAACCTTTCGCTGAAATGCTTCCAAGACTCACCTGCCTGGGGAATGAATCCACAATGGGACCTTACCTGTGGCTAGGCAACAGGATGGCCTGGCAAAGTACAAAGACCTGCCAAGCATTCCCAGGGCCCCTTCCTCACTTACATGACATAGTCAGGGACGATGTGAGGTTTGGGGTTGTGGCCTGTCGGGATGACGAGATTCAGCCTCTCTGGGACCTCTCCGTTCTCCAAGAACTCAACGTGCCTGGTGGCTTTCCTGGCCAGGGCAGTGTCATCCCGGGAGGCAGCCAGCTGAGGTGCGGCTCGTAAGACAACTGGCGTTGGCTGTGGGAGGAAAAGGCGCACAGGTTGCTCACGCCTGGCCTTTGGGGGAAGAGCAAGGGCCATGGGCATCTTTTCTGCTGGAGCAAGTGGGAGCACGAGGAGCAGCCTCCTCACAAGCCCATTCACCAGCCGGGCAAGCCCAGGACCACTTTGTGCACTGACCCAAACCCCAGGGACTCGGGTTCAAGAAAGGGACTCCCACTGCTGCTCAGGCAAAAGTTGGGCTCCTCTTCTGAGTTCATCACTGGGAGGCTTCTGCATGTAAGCAGGAGTTCGACCTCAGAATTATGTCCCCTGCCCTAAAAATAAGCAAGTTTCTAGTCCTCATGGCTCTGACTGGTCTATATAGCAACACTGGAATCTGCCTGATCCAAAGACAGGCCCTTGGGCCATCTAGCTCTAGTAGGCAGGGTCTTAGTGCTCAAAAGCTGCCCCCTGCAGTGACTGGGGGCAGGAAAGGGGAGGGGTCCAGTTGGGGCTGTCCAGCAACCATCATCTGCAGGACGGGGTCTCACCAGGGATAGCAGGCGCTTCCTGATAGCCTCGCGCTGCCACATCTTGAGGCAGGTGAAGGAGCCTCCCAGGTAGAGCAGCATTGTGAGGAAGAGGAAGACGATGGCTGCCACCTGCCCCCCTTCGACCTGGCACAGGGCCATGACCAGTGGGTTGGCGGCAAAGACAGAGTAGCACAGCCCGCCCCGACGGACGTCATTGACGTACGCGATGGCAGCGGCCATGTACAGCAGCGACAGGGTGAGGTTGAGGGCAAACTCTGTCAGCGGCCACCAGTGCGAATTGAGGAGGATGGTCCGGTAGTACATGGTGACGCCCAGGCCCAGCAGGATCACTGTCACAAGCCACGCCAGACTGGCCACCACCAGCACGAAAGGGGCCATCGGTCCGACGTAGCCGTAGCCGTAGCCCGCTCCCGCGAAATCTCCATAGAGCTGAGGCCACTGGTAGTCCTTCTGGATGTACGCTGCCGTGCAGGCGAAGACCATCCCACCGAAAATCAGTTCCAGGGCGCCCATTAAGCGGAGGAGACCTGGCCACGACTTCATGTAGGAGTACTTCTGGTTGTAAGCCTCCAACTTCTCCTCGTAGCTGGGGGGAGCAGTTGGCCTGCTCCCCTGGTCCATGGCGGCTGGGGGTCTCCCCAGTGTTGGAGTTGCTGCGGCATCTGAGGGGGGACTCTCGTTCTCCCCATCGCTGGAGCACTCCCGGGCAGCAAAGGCAGTCCTACGAGGACACCCCGACCATGGATGAACCAGTGGGGCCCCTTCTGGGGAGCAGGTCAGGAGAGGAGGCTTCACCTGGTCTGCCTCTGCCGTGGCTGCAGAAGGTGGAGCGAATCGCCTGACGGGCTTCAAGAGTGGCCACTCTTGGGCTTGGCTGCTGGAGGCCGAAGGCAAAACCCCACAGGAAGGTGAGCTCCGGGGGACCAGTGAGGTTCCCGGATCCTTGGTGCTGGCTTCCATGGGGTGCGGCTGGCCGCCAGTCGTCTGCCCCCATGACAGGGGCTGAAGAGGGTCATCCTCAGCTGCCATTCACCACAGTGGCCACTGGAGCAAGGTCCTCCCTCAACGGGTCTTGCAAAGAAATGGAGGGGGTGCAGGCGGCACACAGAAGTCTGGATGGGGCTCTGCTCACCACACCTGAAGGAGGACATCGTGGAATTGGAAAAAGGGCTGAGAAGGGCACGTGACTGTCCCTCAAGCGATCCAGCAACCGAAGCAACTCCCCAGGAGGGAACACCTGCGGGAGGGATGCTGCAGAAGGACACCTGGTGTGGCAAAGGTGGTGAGAGACATTGTCCTCCCTCTCGTGTCGTGCTGGAACCCAGCAGGGTCAGCTGGGTTGGTGGGAGACTCAGGACAGATCGAAGGAGGTGCGTCTTCACCCAGGGCAGAGCTAAACTGTGGAACTCACTGCCACAGGGTGTTGCAACGGCCGCCAGTGTGCGTGGCGTCCAGAAGGGGCTGGACAACTCCATGGAGGAGCAGAAGCCTTCCAGGGGCTGCTAGTCCTGAGGGGTCCAGGCCGGGCATGCGATGCTGATGTGCTCCAGCAGCTGTGGGACTCGGCTGGGTGGGTGGCTATGCTCACGTCCCGTTGCGTGGCTCTCATGTGAGCCCCTGTGGGCCAGGCTCTCCCTACAGGCTTCTCTGAGCAACTGGGCTGCGTGCAATGCAGGGAGCCCATGTGGGAGCGAATGGAAGGAGGTTGCAGCGCAACGTTGGGGGCCAGCTTTGTGGTGGCAGCTGCTGAATGCCCCCTTACTCACCTGCCGTCCAGCTCACCTCCCAAATGAAGGCACAACATTTTTCCAACCTGGAGCCCTCCAAATGGGCTAGACTACAGTTCCCATCATCCTCCAGCCCAACCTTTCAGGAGGCCACCAGGTTGGGGAGGACGCTCTGGCGAGAGCAGCTGAAACAGCTGCACATATCCAGGGAGGACAGGGGTGCAGAAGCCATGGGGATCGGGGGGCACAGATCCAGGCATGCTGCAGCCGGTCACAGGCCTGGCCCAGCCTTATTTGCCTCCCCTCCCCAGATCCCAGCCCTTTAAGCAGTCAATTATAGGATAAAACAATTCCAGTAATCCTGCCTTCTGTGAAATCTGAGAGTTGGTATCAAAAGACCTTCTCTAAGGGTACATCTACATCTTCTTCTTTGGAGCGAAGGGAGGTTTATTTCTATTAATTGCAGTAGCAGCTGAAGCCAAAGGGCAGCTGTTCGGTTTCATGGGTCCTGCTCAAGAGCATGGGGGACAGTACAGGTTTGCACCTACTCATTTTATTTCTGGGCACAGCCCAGAGGGCTGCATTTGTGATTCAGGAAACCCCCCTGGACAGAAAGATTTGGGGGGGGGGGGGCAGCAGGAGGGGTGCCCACAAGGAAGCAAAAAGCCCAAACATCCAGGGGGTCAGATGCAGCAGAACTCCTAGGCCCCCAGGGGGACAGCAGGATGGTGGAATGAAGGGCCTCGTGGAGATCTGGACTCTAGAGGAAAGATGTGGGCTGCTCCGCACTCCACCTCTGGCTGGAGCACAAGATTCATACCAATCTATTTAAAGGGAATGTGCTATATGGATGGTTCTTCTTGCTGTTTTTGCCCTCCTTTTTGAATCCTAAGCATGTCAAGAGGTTTATTTATTTATTTTAGGTTGCAGGGTATGAAAATGGCCCACCTGGGGGCTGAGGTGGAGTGGCAGGATGCCCCACCTGACTCGTGGCGTCATGCCTTCCTTCTTTCTTCTCCCCAACAGGCAGTTGGGCTCCCTGCTCCCTTTGGCCTCCCTGCAGACTCCCAGGGCACCCCCATTCACCCTTAAGCAGTCAATGCCATCTGCTTTGTAAGAGCATCTCCGGTTTCCACAGACCCACATGGACCGGCGTCCTTCCCCTTGTCCCATCCTCAGAGCCCCCCTGCCAACTCTTCTTCCCCCATGCCTAACCCTGTTGGCACCCCCTCCCCATGGGCAAAGCCCATCACAAAGTACCTTCTGCAATTGCTTGCCAGTTTCTAGCATTTCAGGGATGTAGATGGTGGGATGAAGCATCCGACCTGCTATTCTTCCAACCCTCGGAGGAAACACAGGCTTCCTTTTTCCCAGCAGTCTCCAGAGTGCACAGAAACCCCAGGGCCAGCCTCAGCCATGCAACCGCAAACACACACACCTACTGATAATGCTGCAGTGGACAGAAGCCCTGGCCGGGCATGTTATTGGTTCTGATGCTGTTAAATATTAACTGTGGGCAAGCTGGAGATGAGCGTTATGTGCCAATTCAGGCTCCACAGGATCATGGTAGACAAAGGTAGGGGTGTCCCTCCAAAGACATTCTAGCCTTTCAGTAGATCTAAATTTGAGACACAATTTGAAAACAAGCAAACAGGCAGAGAAGACCACTGATGCAAGGCTGTGCAACCTGAGGCCTGCAGGAAAAAGCTGCCCTCTGTGGTTCCGGAGAAGGCTCTGCCTCCCTTCCTGAAACTTCCCCATCCATTCCATGCTTTCTTGGTTCAGTGCATTTTCCCTGCTGTAAAAGCTGGAAACACCCCTCCAGGGGCTGAGCTGCCAGCAGGAAAAGCTGAAGTTTGGAGCTGACGCCTGTGTCCTCTTCTGGTTTTGCAAGGCCAGGGGATGGTGGCTGCAGTGGTCTGGCTGGCCACAAGATGGCAGCAAAGTGACAGGGAAGGAGCCCCGCTAAGGCCTCACTCCTCCAGTTGCTTTGGAGAACAGCTCCCAGCGTGGGCTGGGGTTGATGGGAGGTGAAAGCCAAAGCATTTGCAGGCAGGCTGTATTCTAAGAGGCTTCAGTCTCTCTACCTTTTCTCAGTTGGCTGAGAGTGGACTGGTTTATCTAGTAAGGCCTACCCCAAATGGTCGCTTCTTAACAGTTCTGCCCTGATCCTGCCCTTTCCTGCTCACACAAGGGGGGCAGATCGTGCAGCCGCCGTTCTTTCTTCCACGCAGCTGCTGTGCTTCTTGGCAACCCCGGTTGTGTCTTGAGCCCTCCAAGTGGGCATTTTATCTGGAAACTGGCCCCCAAATGGGTGCTGAATTGTGACAAGAAAGCTCTGGTCTTTGCGGTTTCAGAATGGAATTACACTTATGACTATAGTGGGATTCTGTATGCTGCTGAGCATATGTGCGCGTTACGTAAATGGAGATCAGACACAATCCAAAACCCTGTGCATGTCTGGACAGAAACAATTCCTCCAGCACGCTGGGAATGATAGGCCTCATTTCTCTCTGGACATGCATAGGGTTGCCTCCAAAACCTGCCCAGGCACCTGCCTACCCATAAACAAAACAACAGATTCCTGCTACAGTCACAAAACATCAGGCCTGTGTATGGTGTTAGGTATTTACTGAATACAGAATAATAAAAATAAAAGCCTTCTATTATATCTGAAATGCTAAGTTTCGTTTTGATTCTAGAACAGATCATTGCTTCTGTTTGTGGTTTCTAAAGCCCAAATGCTGAAACACAACAAGGTTCAGACAATGGAACAGGCCAATAATGCTGGTAAAACAAAACAAAACCCCAGTAAAGCCACAGTTATGATCTGAGATTTGAAATGTATGGCAAACAGGGTCAATGCTTGTGACCTCAACCAAGAAATTCTCTCTTCCCAGCCTTGCGAACTTCAATCATTTTTGAAGGCACCAAGTCTCAGGAGTGCTGTGAACTTGAAAGCTTGCCCATAGGTGGGGGTGTCTAACCCAAACTTTTGCAGTATCTTTTTCTGCGAGCTTTTGAAAAATAAGCTGGGGAGGAAAAAGTTTAAACTTAAGTCCAAGCCCTATTAGAGTAAGAAAGAAGGAACAGGTGAACTTCCTGCTTCATATTTCATGAATCATGTCATATATTTATTTGGCTCAATTTGTAGCTGCCATTCTACCAGACAAAGTGGCAGATCCTGGTCCTTCCTGCTTGGATGCTTCAGAGATGGAAAAATAGTGGTTTTGGCTGTGGGGCCAACCCAAAATTCCACACTTGCATGATGTTCCTGCATGGCACATGGCTCTGAACACCTGTCCGTTGGCTGAGCAGCAGTGCAGAGCAGCTGCAAGCACGCAGAGACCCGCAGCATCTAAGGAACAACAAGGAAATGGTAAGTGGACTCCCCGTGCCTGCCATCCAGGCCCCATGGATTCCAGCGGCCAAGCATGAGCATGAGGAAGTCTGGATGTGACAAGCCATCAGCTGGCCTGCATGTAGATGGAAGCAGGCAAGAAGCTTCCATGAGAAAGAGGGCTTGTTTGAGGCAAGGAGGGAACGAGTCCAATGAAGGGGAATCTCTCCCCACACTCTCAACTCAGCTCAAACCCCACTTCACCACCAGACCTTCATTGTTGCCTGCCCAAACTGGCACCAGCGATACCTTTCGGAGGGGCACTTTGTGCAGGCAGTCCCTGGTTGCAATGTTGTGCACACACATGCACGGACACACGCCCTGTCCCTTGCAGGTCTCTGAATTCGGATCTTTGCAGGTTGCTGTATTTACTACCGTACGAAGAAGATGAAGATGGTCTAGTGCGAATGGCTATCGCAATGAGAACAACTTACAATGGGAAGCAGCTGTATGTCCAGAAGTGCTTCCCTCTGCAAAAGCTGCCACTGCAGGGTTTGCTTGCATGCCTTACCTAGGCGGAGCTAAAGCTCTGGCCTTTCTTTCAGAGGAAAAGTCATGACTGGTCACATTCAGGAACACAGAAAATCAAGAATCAAAAATGTGACTGGACAGAAAGGGTTGCTTTTTCTGTGAAGGCAGAAAGACCTTTAAAACTGAAGTTGCACCCCATGTGATTCCCACATTTGCAATTGTATGTTTTGGATTATCTGTCAGTGTAAACGAAGTGGTTTTGTCAGAAATGACACATAACAAAATGTAAAATTGGGCACTCTAGATTCAAAAGCAATATTATACTTTTATATTTCAAATATTTATTGTTTGTTATCAAAATATTTATAACTCTCTTGGAGGCCTTCAGAATGGGCCCTCGAAGAGGCTCACATAAAACAAACAAACAAACC